ATTGGAGCGTTTTAATGGACTTATTGGGGCAACCTGATAATAAAGAGTTGCAGTAATCCAGCCTTGAAGTAACAAATGTATGGATTAGTTTTTCTGCATCTGTCTGTGATAGTATGTGTCTAATTTTTCTAATATTACGTAAATGAAAGAAGGCAGTCCTAGAGGTCTGCTTTATGTGGGAGTTAAATGACAAATCCTGATCAAAGATAACTCCAAGATTCCTGACAGTGGTGCTAGAGGCCAAGTTAATGCCATCTAGAGTGACTATATCTTTAGACAATGAGTCTCTACGGTTTTTGGGGCCAAGAACAAGAATTTCGTTTTTTTCTGAGTTTAACATCAGAAAATTGCAGGTCATCCAGGATTTTATGTCCTTAAGACATGTTTGTAATTTAGATAATTGATTAATTTCATTGGGTTTGATTGATAGATATAACTGCGTATCATCTGCATAACAGTGAAAGTTAATGGAGTGATTCCTAATAATGTTGCCTAAAGGGAGCATATATAAAGTAAATAGTATTGGTCCAAGTACAGAACCTTGTGGAACTCCATGACTAACTTTAGTATTTATGGAGGATTCATCGTTAACATGTACAAACTGAGAACGATCTGATAAATATGACTTAAACCAGGTTAGGGCAGTTCCTTTAATGCCAATTTGATGCTCAAGTCTCTGTAAAAGAATATCATGGTCAATGGTGTCAAATGCAGCACTAAGATCTAATAATACAAGTACAGAGACAAGTCCATTGTCAGAAGCAGTCAGAAGGTCATTATTAACTTTAACCAGAGCTGTCTCTGTGCTATGATGAACTCTAAATCCTGACTGAAAATCCTCAAATAAACTATTGTTATGTAGAAAGTCACACAACTCTTTGGCGACTACTTTCTCCAGAATCTTAGAGAGGAAGGGGAGGTTAGAAATCGGTCTATAGTTGGCTAAAACCCCTGGGTCAAGAGTGGACTTTTTAAGAAGGGGGTTTAATTACAGCTACTTTAAAGGACTGTGGTACATATCCTGATAATAAAGAAAGATGAATCATATCCAGTAAAGAAGTGCCAATTAAGGGAACAACTTCTTTAAGCAGCCTAGTAGGGATCGGGTCTAATAGACAGGTTGATGGCTTCGATGAAGAAATGATTGAAGTTAACTGATGAAGATCGATAGCAGAAAAACAGTCTAAATATACATCTAACTTTACATTGACAGAAGTCCCTGAACTTGGAGAGCCACTGATAACTGTTGATGGCAGTTGGTGATACATTTTTTCTCTAATAGTAATAATTTTATTATAGA